TTTCACGGATCCGATGGACAGACTCCTCGTGGCTCCATCAGAGATGACCATGGCTCTGGGGAAGTATTCCCACCGGCTGGTTGGTCGGATTGGCTCGTCGATTAGGTCGGGCCCTTCGGGGAGACCGAATTCTCTGCCCGCGAACCAATCCTCGGGGCGGCTGACACACAATGCGACCTGGAGTCTGCTGTTGTCCTCTGGAGATGGAAGTTCCTTGACTTTCTTGGCTTCTGGAGCCTCTTGCCTAGGTGGTTCGCCTCCTCAGGTGTATCTCTTCAGGTGACCGTCTTTGATCAGAATTTCGATCGCATCCTTGAGATGGATGCAGTCTTCTGTCACGTGCCCGTGGCTCCTGTGAAATCGGCAATATTTCAATTTGTCCACGTTCGGTTTGGGGGGTGTCGATCGCGGGAAACGGACACCTCCCTGTACGAATTCTATTTTGGCGCATTCAGCCAGTATGCACTCGCGGGAAGCGACTAAGGCCGTGTATTCCGTGAATCGGCCGGCAGGGCCACGCGGTTCACGTTGTTCGCGGGGCTCGCGGGGGCGGTCTTCGCGACGGCGGTCTCCCCCCCGTCGATGGCTCGAGGCTCCGTCGTCTCGGTGCCCGCGGGGGGCCTCCCGGTCTCGGGTGTCTCGAGCGGAGTTGGCCGCTTGCGTTTCCTCGAATCGGATATAGTGCGCGGCCCTGTCGAGGAAGTCTTGGAGTGATGTTGGTCGGTGTATGCCTACGGCCTCGTAGAACTTGGAGTCGTGGCGCAGACCTTGCTCCATTAAGTAGTGTTTCATCTCGTCTGACGTCGTCACCTGCACTGCTTCTCGAGTGAATCTCTCGATGTACTTTCGGAGAGGTTCGTCGGGGCCCTGGATGATCGCCCCGAGGACTGCTTCCGTCTTCGGGTGGTGTCGGGATGCCGTAAAGTGTTTGGAGAACAGGTCCTTCAAGACCCTCCATGACGTAACTGATTCGGGCTCCAGACTTTTATACCAGGTCATAGCGCCCTTCCTCAGAGTCGTCGGGAAGGGTCTGCACTTGATGGCTCCCCGGACGTTTCGGTAATCGAGCATGGCCTCGATATCCTATAGGTGATCGTCCGGGTCGGTCGTGCCGTCGTACGTCGACAGCGTCGGGGGCTTCTCCATCCCTTGGGGTATGGGGGCAGCCATGATTTCTCGGGACAACGGGGTGCGGTAGTCGTCCTCGTCGCTAGGTGCCGGGGATCGATGGGGAGATGAGCCGTTCAAATTAGGCCCCTGGTTTCGGGTTCTCATCCTCCTGCCTGGGTTGTCGCCTCGAGGATCCCTGGTAGGGATCGCCGCAGTGCTCTGGTTCCTCTCGTGAACGTGCCTTGCTGGGGATCTGGTGCGTTCTCGTGCCACCTGTGTGCGGTGCCTCTTCAGCCGCGGCCGGCGGTTTCTGGGTCGAGGTGAGGGGCTCCTCGAACCTCCGTTCTGGTCTTCCCGCGGGGGGTACCTCGGAGGACCGATGTGTTCTAATGCTCTAATTCTCGCATTTTGTTGGAACAGCAGCTGGTTCCTCTGGTTGATGGCCGTAAAGAGGGCGGCCACCATTGGGTCTGCTCCCGCCGGGATGGGAACGGGGTGGAATGCTGGCGGGCTCGGGGGCCGGTGGTCGACCTGAAGGGGCCGCTCCGCGGATGACGGTGAAGCAGTTTGGCCGTCCCTTTCGTCGGTTTCCGCCGGACGCGTCGTCCCTGTCTGCTTGTTTCCATTAGTGGCTACGTTGAGCACGAGGTCGTGAGGAGTGCCGTCGCGGTGTGGACTAGCCATGATCGTTGAGGTTTGGTGAAACTTTTGGTTTTCTGCTCGGAGTAACGGGGAAGTTTCAGATTCCCACAGGCGGCGCCACTGATCTGACCTGATCAGGAGGGGATCACGGGCTGGCCACACGCTGTTGGGCTGCTACCTGTTCAGCGGTGATGAGGAGGAGAAGGGGGGTGTACCTGCAAGACACTCCGATGCCAAAGTAAGAAATTGGGAAGAGTGAGAGCAAAGTACAGAAAGGGAAAGATGTGAGTTACCTGACCCTCTTGAGGAAGAGGGTATTTATAGAGAGACCCCAGCGCTGGGCCAACGGTCATTTGAGGTGGGCTGGATGACCATGCCCAACCCTAATGACTGCTAGGGCTTACGTGGCATAGTGAAGACCAGAACGTGGTCTTCGCCCTAGTCCAACTATCCCGTGGTCTCCGGAAAGTGGGTTTGACCTGCTCTTTCGGAGGTGGGCAGTTAGGAACTGACGTGTCCCCGCGGAGGGGTGCACGTGGAGAACGTGCGCCGGGCACGTTGTTCTCCCCTGCAGGGGGGAGCTCAGGAGATTCCCCGGGGCGCGATGTTCTTCCCGCGGAGGGGCGGAGCCGAGGCCTCGTTTTGATACGCTGGGGTGCGTCCTGCTCGGCTGATAAGAGGGAACGGCGAGAGGCCGTGGGCTGCGTCGCCCGCGCCCGGTGGTGCGTTCCGCTCGTCAAGCGGGGCGTGCGTGCCCGGCGTGGCCAATTCGCTTATTGGGCCGCGCGAGGTACTGGGCTGGACCGAGGTCGGGCCCAGGTCAGAACAATATGATAAAGTGATAGTGTTGGATATGTTGACCAAGTGATGGTGTTTGAAGATCAAGATATGTTGATCAAGATGTGTTAATTAATGCGAAGCCTAAAGATCATTTGACGCAATGATCAAATGAATATGTTTGAATATCAAGTTGTGGTTATGTTGATCAAGTTATGGCGATAGTTTCATGTTCTTGCTAAAAACACTACAAAGTTGACTTCTCTGATACAGGTCAAGGAGAGCCTTAAATGATTGGTTAAGTGTCCCGACCATAACCGATTATGTCACTACAACAAAAATGACTTTAGGCAACGGAGGAATAGACAACGACTGTAAAACCGTCCCTATAAGTAACATAGGCTACACGTTTTTACGTGTGGACGCTTTTTTTTCAAAACCGTCCCTTATTTATTATATGCTACGGTTTTGAAAATGTGGTTATAGTATAACCGTTGCGTAATCACTTTTATCCACAGTTTCATAAGCGAAGCATATAAGAACCGCAGCTTATTCCTTTTTTGCAACACTTTTGAAGTGTGGTATTTTTTATTTCTATTTTTTTTAAATTTAATGTTAATTATTCACATATTATTAAATGTACAGAATGGGGATCGAACCCCTGTCCTTGTAGTGCTCTAACTCAAACTTGAAAATATGATTGAAAAATTAATTTAAGAAAACTGGCAAAACCTAGACTTGAACCCAAGTCCCTTGCTCTATAGTAAGATCTCACTACCACCAGAACAAGAACGCCATTTGGTTTTAATGTGAATTCGAAATTTATTAATTAATTAATCTATTCTAAAAGTTGAAATTTTTCATCCAAAAAAATACCGCCAGTATCATATAGTTCCTAAAAATTAGGGGTTAAACCCTAACTTATTCATCTCCCTGCACGAACGCAAGCAAACTGTAACATTTTCACCGTCATTGCCGGCAACCGTCCTCCCTTCTCTCATCCATTGGTTACACCTCTCAAACGTAAGTTTCTCATTCTCATTTTCTAAATAATAATAATAATATGCAATTTTCAATCTCTCATGTTCATATTTTTGATGTAGGGTATTCACTCTCAATCTTAGTTCTGCATTTGACTTTCCTTCTCAAACCTAACCTTTCAATTTCAGATTTCAGTATTATTCTCACTTTCAGGTATTTTACTTCTTATATATAATAGAATAGTAGTACCAAAACATCATAGAAATGTTATCATTACTCCATATTTTATCTCTGTAATTACAATAATGAATGGTAGTACCAAAATGTTTTTGAAATTTGGTTTGTGTTGTTATTGTTAAGACCTAAAATTCTAAGAATCATGATAATGGTTTTGATAAGTACAAAACTTGAAAATTTACATTTTGTTTTGTGCATAGGAGGTCATGGTTAGAAGTTTGAGTCAGGGAATTAACGTCTTGTAAATTCAAGATAATATTGTCTACAATAGACCCATGTCCCACAAATTGGTACGAACCTGTTAGAGGCAAAATATCTCAGTTATACTTAATATAGATAAGTATCCTCTTGTCATGTTAAGAGTTAGTTTCACTAACAGCATTATTCATTGGGTGGTACATGGGTTAGTTATGTTTGTTAACAGTTAAGTGTTTCTTATGCTAGCTTTTTAAAAAAAATCACAATCCAATTTCTAAAACTCAGCATCACACTGAAAGATGGAAAATGTAACATTATTGGATTTCATGGGATGGGAGGATCTGGTAAGACCACTTTGGTGAAAGAGGTTGGAAAGAAAGCCGAGGAGTCACAACGTTTCGACAAAGTTGTTATGGCTGTTGCAGACAGTTTAGATTTGAAGACAATTTAGATTTGATATTAAGGGAAGAGACAACAATTGGTAGAGCACAAAGACTTTCGACAAGCTTACAAGTTGAGAGGACTCTTGTGATATTGGATGATGTGTGGAAGAATCTTGATTTTGAAGCCATAGGGATTCCGCCATGTTGCACTGTCTTGCTAGCTACTCGTGGCCAAGTTGTATGTGTGTCTATGAACTGTCAAATTACGGTTGAGTTGTCACTCTAACAAGTAGCAGTGATGCCTATGGTGATGTTCTTGCTATAGCCAATTCTGTTTCATTGAGCTGCTGTCAATAGTACTAGTTAGCAGGGGCTGTAAACAACTTATTTATCCATGGAGAAGTGCCTTTAGCCATGATAGTGTTATTTCCCTACTAGATTATATTAAACTGTTGTTAGATAGTGAGTTTTACACAAGAAAATTCTTTGTTAGATACTGCTACTTTGATGAATTGCAATTTTAGTTTAAATATGATTCCAAATGTTCAATTGGATAACCACCATACAAGTGACACAACAAGTACGTGATCACTGCCAAATGCCAATTATATCATATTGTCATTTTCATTCAAAACAGATACTGAGAGACAAAAATGTCACTAGTTTTATTTTTCACTTGCCAAACAACTCTACCTTAGATAAGGGGCTACTTGAAGAATACTTGTTTGTTCTAACCCTTCTCTTCTTCTCCATAGAACTCACTTTCTGAGTAACTTGCTCACCCTTTTCAAGATTATCAACCACCATAGAGGATTCAGGACTTAAACTATTCTTAGAGGCTTGATCATCAACACAACTAGTTTCTTGATTACTAATAGAGTTATCTTGATGAACATGAAGAGTGTGAGTAGCAAGGGAATTGTTTATATTAGTGAAGTAAGATGAAGAGTCAACAAAAAAATGTAGTTGATATGAAAAAGCTGCCATGATAATATGAGTTGATATGAAAAACATATTGTGGCATATAACTTAACTAAAAATATGATTGAAAAATATGATCAAACTTGAAAATAGGTCTGTGACAAAGTGTCTGTGACAAAAACACAGGACTCAAAAACATAGGTTTGTGACAAAGTTTATATTTTGTTCGGTAATAAATAAAGGGATTTCTTTTTTATTTTTAATCTAACATTTAGTAGTGCTAATTTTTTTGAATTTGGCCATGTTCTTTTGATATAGATAGAGATAGAGATGGCCATGTTCTTTTGATATAGCAGCGACCACTTTATGATATAGATAGAGATGGCCATGTTCTTTTGAATTTGAATTGAGTCTTAAAAATTTAGTAGTGCTATTTTTTTTAAATGGAATTTTATTGTTAAATATATTATAATATAAGATAATTTCACATTACCTATAACATCTAATCTTTTTATAAATAATATACTCTCAGCAGTATCTTTTAAAATGCTTACATTAATATAATGCTTACATTAAAAAACAACTGAGTCTAGAACATTGTTCGTTTATATATATATATATATATATATATATATATATATATATATATATATATATATATATATATATATATATATATATATATATATATATATATATATATATATATATATATATATATATATATATATATATATATATATATATATATATATATATATATATATATATATATATATATATATATATATATATATATATATATATATATATATATATATATATATATATATAATGGTTACATTAAAAAAAAAACTATTTATAAATGAACCTGAATTATATATTAACAATTTATTTTATGTGTGAATAGTGATATTAAGTTGTTAGTTATATAATATGTTAATACTGTGTTTGTTCATAGTTAAATTATTTTATGTGTTAATATTGTATTAGTTTGTAAATAATAGTGTATTCTTATGTGTTTATACATTTTATTTGTTTATAAATTTATTGATGGATATTTAATATATTATAATTAAATTAGACTAAAGGTATGGACAAAGCATGGACTAAACTCCCAAGACACCGGAAGAAGTATAGAAAAGGTGTTAAGTCTTTTTTAGATTTTGCCTATACCACAGGAAGACCTCAAGGACGTGAAATTTCTTGTCCTTGTGCTCATTGTGCAAATTGTAAATGGGAAAGAAGACATGTGGTCCGCGATCATTTAATAGCTGTAGGTTTTGTGAAAGGATATGATGTTTGGGTAAACCATGGAAAGGATATACCATCGCATATGAAAATTAAGAAGAACACAAAAGATCAAGAGAACTCACTTGATGACATTGGTGGTTTATTGTATGACACATTTAGAAATGTGGTTGAAGCAGAGGAAAATAGTGAAGCTCACAATGAGGATGCGAGAAAGTTCTACAAGTTGATTCATGAGGCAAAACAAGAGTTATACCCCGGATGTGAAAGCTTCTCTACTCTATCATTCATAATTCGACTTTACTTGTTGAAGTATCTGCATGGATGGAGCAATGCATCTTTCACTTCCCTTTTAGAATTATTGAAAGAAGCGATTCCAGAATTAAACATTCCTGAATCTTTTAACAAAACAAAGGCGATGATTAGTGATTTGGGTCTCGATTACAAAAAAAATCATGCATGTCCAAATGATTGCATGTTATATTGGAAAGAACACGAGAATGATAACTCTTGCAATATTTGTAAGGCTTCACGATGGAAGGAGTTTCCTCAAGTAGAGAGCGAGTCTTCTGAGCATGCAAAATATGACCATAAAGTCCCTGCTAAGATTTTGAGACATTTTCCATTGATTCCAAGATTTCAAAGGTTATTTATGTGTTCAAAGACAGCAAAGGAAATGAGGTGGCATGAAGAAGAACGCTCAAAAGATGGAAAATTAAGGCATCCTGCGGATGGACAAGCATGAAGGGATTTTGATAGACTTCATCATGACTTTGCTTCTGAGCCTCGTAATATAAGACTTGGCTTATCAAGTGACGGCTTCAATCCATTCCGGACCATGAGCTTATCACACAGTACATGGCCTGTCATGATGGTAATATACAACTACCCTCCTTGGTTGTCCATGAAATCTGAATATACAATGTTGTCATTGTTGATTCCCGGGCCACAATCACCGGGGAATGACATTGATGTGTACCTTCAACCATTAATTGAGGAGTTAAAGGAGTTATGGGAATTAGGAGTAGACACATATGATGCCTCAAAAAATCAAACATTTAAAATTCGTGCAGCACTCCTATGGACAATTAGTGATTATCCTGGATATGCTATGTTATCAGGTTGGAGCACCAAAGGAAAGTTTGCATGTGCGTGTTGCAATCATAACACTGAATCATCATATTTAAAAAATAGCCACAAGATGTGCTACATGGGTCATCGTGTCTTTTTACCAATGAGCCATGCTTGGAGGTTAAATAAAAGGTCCTTTAATGGAAAGAAAGAACTTAGGTCTGCCCCTTCTTTGTTAAAAGGGACAGATATTTTGGAAACCCTGAAAGATTTTCAGAATGAGTTTGGTAAAACAAAAAAGAAGAAAAAAGATGGTCCATGGAAGAAAAAATCAATATGTTTTGAGTTACCTTATTGGGCTGAAAATACATTACGTCATAATCTTGATGTGATGCACATTGAAAAAAATATATTTGATAATATTATTGGAACTCTTTTAGACATACCAGGGAAGACAAAAGATCATGTTAATGCTCGTTATGATTTGAAAGACATGGGAATAAGAAAGAAGCTTCATCCAAAAGAGATTGGTGGAGGTCGTGCAGAGATTGCAAAATCTTGTTTTTCAATGAGTGCACGTGAGAAGACTATTTTTTGTGGTGTTTTAAAGGCTGCCAAATTACCAGATGGGACTGCATCAAACATTTCAAAGTGTGTGCAAGTTAGTAATAAGAAAGTGTTTGGCTACAAGAGTCATGACGCACATTTCATGTTACATTACTTATTACAAGTAGCAGTAAGAGGCACCATGCCCAATGCAGTGGTTGAACCTCTAATTCGCTTAGGGTCATTTTTCCGCTCTTTGTGTAAAAAAGTTATCCGAGAGCAAGATTTGAATTTCTTAGAAGCTGAGATTGCAGATATCCTCTGTCAACTGGAGATGATTTTTCCTCCAAGTTTTTTTGATATAATGGTTCACTTGCCTATTCATTTAGTAAATGAAGTTAGATTAGGCGGTCCTGTTCAATTTCGTTGGATGTATCCCACTGAAAGAAACTTATGCAAACTTAAAAGTTATGTTCGTAATAGAGCTCATCCTGAAGGATCTATTGCTGAGGCATATTTGGCTGAAGAAGCTTTGACTTTTTGCTCAAGATACTTGCATGAAAATGTAGACACAAGGTTAAATAGAAAGAGTCGAAATTATGACAATAGTGACTTGTGTGATGCGGATTTAAGCGATTACTTTTCATGTATTGGTCGTTCCTTATGTGGGAAGAAAAATGGTAAACCATTTTTTCTAGATTCAACTACAAAATCCCAAGCCCACCGATACCTTTTGTTCAATTGTGATGAAGTTAACACATTCATCAGGTACCATAATATATTAAGTTCATTTATAAAACACACACACACACACACACACACACACACACACACACACACACATTAGTGTTATTTTCTAATAGATGATAAGTTATATTTGTAGGGAGCATGATGATATTGTCAATAGTCAAACTAAAGGACGGAGGTGGGTCAAGGCCAAAACCCAAAGTCACGATTTTAGTGAATGGTTTAAAACTCGAGCCTTGAAAGATGATGTATCAATTCAGCTAAAAGATTTCTCTAGAGGTCCATGTGATACAGCAAAGAGGTTTTCAGGCTACCTCATCAATGGATATAGATTCTATACTATGAAACGAGATGCAAGACGCAAAACTCAAAATTCAGGTGTAACTTTGGTTTCATTGACTCCAAGTTTTGCAAGCTCTAAGGATGAAAATCCTAGGATGAATGTTGTAACTTATTATGGAGCAATTAGAGATATAGTTGAGTTAGACTATTACTCTCAATTCAACTTTGTGTTGTTTGAGTGTGATTGGTTCGAGGTAGAAGAAGACAAATATGGGCTTACTTGTGTATATTTCAACAAAAAATGTTACCAAAATGATCCTTTTGTTCTACCATCTCAAGTGCATCAATGTTTCTATATCCAAGATCCACTTGATGAAAGTAGGCAGTATGTCATGAAAACAGATCCTAGAGATTTATATAGTATGGGTAACCTATCAGATTCAATGGTCCAAGAATCTTATCAAAGTGATCCTTTTGATGGTGAACTTAATTGGGTTAGAGAAGATATACCTGGAATAATTGTTGATAAGCCTCCATCTTTTATTGAAGAAGCAAGATATGAAGATGATTCTGATTTTGACAATACTTTGTTGGACTAGTAGAGTGATGAGGTCTAAGTCATTCATTTTATAGACATTAAAAACGAATGGTAGGAATGTCCAATGAACTCCTTGCGGTGTAATTTCTCAAGGAACATAATCCATGTTCATGAACAACTTTTTGATAGCATATCAATGTTCAACAACTCACTGTTACAATATTATAATTATCTATCTAGCAATTTTCAATCAAATCTTTACAAATGGCTTCCAAATCTTAGAAAACTTTATCCTCATTATGATAAATTTTATGGTAAAATGCTTACTGTCCATTCTTGTCTATCTCTAAATATTTTTTATGTTTAAATATTTTATAGGACAAATGAACAAGGAAGAAAACAAGAAAAATATGAAGTGTAATGTGAAAGGTCAGAGGGGTGCTTCCAGTTTTAAGCTACCACTGGTCAAATCAAGTTTTGAATTGGCAAGGAATTTCAACATTAAACTGGAGGAAAGAAAGACCAAACATGGAAAATTATGTGCACCAATAACAGAAGTTGAAGCTCTTAGGAACAAAAAAAATCAGCCATTAAGTACTCCGCAATTCAAGTTATCTATGTTTGCAACAAC